CCGCCCCCGGCCGTGCCCGCCCCCAGCCCGCAGCGCAGGCACGCACCCGTCTGGCCGGCGATGACCAGGGACTGCACCGAGAGCTGGAAGAGCTTGTCCAGCACCAGGTGCAGGAAGAGGACGAGCGGCTCCAGGCGGGAGGAGTTGAGGCAAATGATGCTGAGCTTCAGCTCGTGCTCCAGCGCCGCCTCGCTGACCTTCTGGTCCAGCACGCGCAGCGGGAAGGTCACCTGGCTCTCCAGCGCGTGGCAGAGCGTGAAGAACTTCTCCAGGTGGTTGTCCTGGGCGACAGAGGCAGGCTCGGGCTCAGGCCTGCCCCGCTCCCCGGAGGCAGAATCCCAGCGCTCTCTGGAGGGGGTCCTTCTTAGCGAGGGCCCCGGCCCAGGAGTCCTCAGAGCAGATGGTTCAGACCCAGGCCAGGAGGCTCACTGGGGAGCTCAGGACCCCTCCCAACCATAAACTGGACCAGGGCTGCGGGCGGCGGCTGGCACCCCAGGTGGACGAGCGTTTTCAGCCCAAAGAGAAATGAAGTTCCCACACTTGCTTCAACATATGGTTGAACTGCTCAGTAGAAACGCCAAGCTCTGCTTGGGGCATTTTGGCCAAAAATAAAAAGTATTATTTTAAAGCAAAAAGCAACCACCACCCCCAAAATAAACAAAAACAAAATAAAACCCTCCCACATGACCTAGCAGGAGCCCTGGTGGCATAGTCATTATGTGTCTGGTAGTTAACTGCAAGGTTAGCAGTTCAAAACCACCCATCACTTTGGACAAAGATGAGGCTGTCTGTTCCCATAAAGAGTTACAGTCTCAAGCCTTTAAGAACCCAGATGTTACATTTTTTGATAGCTGGGTACGCACCAGCTTTGTCTTCAGCGATTAAAAAACAAAGAGTTATAGTCTCAGAAACCCACAGGGGCTGTCCTTCCCTATCCCCCAGGGTCACTGTGAGTCCAATGGACTCCATGGCCGTGGGTTTGGCTTAATAGCCTAGCATCCTAATTGCAGAGGCTGGAGGCATGCAGAGCTGTGGGCCAGTGTCCACTGCCATGCTGTCCACAATGACCCAAGGGTGGAGACCACCCCCTGTCGGTCGGCAGATGAATGGATACAGCCAGGGGTCTTTCCACTCAAAGGAGTCTGCCAAGCAGAGACGAGCCGACACAGGTGAAACAGGTCAGTCACAGAGCTCAGTGAGTGTCTGATCCCCCGTAGAGGGGGGACCTCAAAGTTGGCACACAGACATACAGAGAGCCCTGCGGTGGTCACCATTGGGCTGCTAACCCAAGGTCAGCAGTTCGAAGCCACCAGCCGCTCTGCGGGAGAACAACAGGGCTTTCTACTCCGGCAAAGAGTCCCAGTCTCGGAACCCCGCAGGGGCCACCCTGTCCCCAGGGTTGCTGAGAGTTGGCAGCGACACAGGGCTGTGGGTTTGGTCCGAGTTTCCTACATGAATGACAGATGGGACCTGAACGTGCTGGTGAGCCCTACTCGGGACTGAAGGCGTGTATGTGTGTGTATGTGTGGGGGGGGATTGTTCTTTTACATCCACCCACGGAGATTCCCCTTGACCCTTTCCTAGGCTGGTGGCCAGACACAGGTCTTACCTGGGTGTGGACGGAGGAGACGGCCTGCACTTCAACGCTGAACACCCCCTTGTGGCCTTCGGCCCACTTGATGGGCGGGTTCTGTAAGGGCACTTTCTGCAAGAGGGAGGTCAGTCACTCCCCTCTCGTTCTGATTACAAGCCTGCCAGTGGCCCCACAAGCCCCAGGCCTGAGCTGGTCGGGCTCCCCTTCAGGTGTGTGGATGGGCTTCCCTGGATGGCCTGATCTCACACAGGTGTCACTGGGCCAGCGCACTCAGAAAAGCCCGCCCGAGTGCAGAGAGAGAGTGTGAGTGTGAGTGTGTGTGTAAGAGAGAGAGAGAGAGAGACAGTCGGGCCGTGGCCCTGTGGGGACTACAGGTCTGGCAGCAGCTGGCGGTTACCTCTGCGGAGTGCATGGAGTAGTTGGGGGGCAGCTTCTCCAGGGCGATGGGGAGGCAGTGGGACCCCGTCTGGAGACGCTCGTTCATCAGGATCGGTAGCCACTATAGCAGAGCAAGGCGAGGAGCGTTGGCCGTTGGACTAGGCCCACGGAGCTCGCTCCTGACAACCAGGGGCAGCTAAACCCTGATGGCAAAGGGAGCCCAGCTCCCGGGGAGGGGTGGGGTTGGGCAGACCCTCTGCGGGGCCAACACATCGGCATGAGTGCTGAGAAGGGACATTTGTGTACGGCTCTGAAAACCGGCCGCTGCCTTCTCCTTTTCGGTTCTTTAGAGAAGTAGCCTTGGTCTCCTTCCCTGTCGCCTGCCCGCCCACCTCCCACCCCCCTCCCCCCAGTAACAGAGAGGGGCACTTCTCCCAAAGCTCAGGGTCCTAGACGTATGGGGAGCAGGGCCCGTGTTACTGAGATGCCGACGCATGAGCCCCCTTCCCGCAGGCGGCCTGCTCCTGTGCCGTGCTGGCCAGCGCCTCTGGGCACTCTGGCAGGAGCAGGCCTGGGTCAGCTCATTGCCGGCCTCACCGCAGGGACCTTGGGGAGACAGGGGACGAGCCCTCACACACCGAGTAGCCCAGGAGGCTTTCCACAGAGCCACCCTGCTTCTGCTGACAGCTGACGTGGTAGAAGGTGAACAGCAGGTGGTGGCTGGTGGTCAGCTTGGCGGGCAGCTTGAGTTTCACCTCCTCATAGAAGTCAGGTGACCTGTTGGGAAGGCACAGTGGACACAGGTCACCTGTGCTGGCCATACGTCATGCAGACACGCAGACACACGGATGACACCGGCATTCACCACGGGCATGGGGGCCAGGGGGGCGGCTGTCACCACCATCTGGCTCCAAGGGCCTTTTCAGCAAGGGGGCCTCAGGAGACCCAGGGCGGGGCCAACGGAAGGTGGGTGCTTCAAGTTCACCCCACCTTGTGCCTTGGAAGAAAGGCCTGCACACGCGCCCTCAACAACCCTGTGCAGCACAGTGCCGCTCCGAGCCAGCGTGAGCACACACTCGGGCAGCTGCCCATCCCCACCCACGGGAACCATGGAGCATCGCAGGGCTCTGGGGGCTGCCTGTTCTAGCTCTTTCCTGCAAGTGGGATGGCACAAGAGAGTCAAGAAGTGCACGGGTCCCACGGTCCCGCTCCTTCACACGCGGGCGTGTGCACGTGTCCGTGTGATCGGCCGCAGACATGCTCTCTCAGCCACAGGACAGTCTCAGTCTCACACGCCACGAGGGGCCTACACATGTGAAGTCCAACCAGAACAGTGGCATGGGGCGGGGGTGGGGTGGGGTGGGCGTGGGGGGCCCATGGGGACTGTGTGTGAGAGGGTGCTAAGGGGTCCTCATGAAAGATGCTCTCAAAGGACACAGGACACCCGGCAGTGGGGGAGGGCAGCTAATTAGGAAGAGGGGTTCAGAACAAAGGCAAACTTCATTTGTGAGACAAAGGCCATTCAAGGTTCTCCCACCGTGACTGTGCACCTGCGCACCCTTTGTGTGTGGCAAGGGTCACCATTAGAGAGAGAATCCACTGGGAAAACCAGACCCTGCCCACCCGCCAGACCCCATCTTGCCCCTTCGGGCTGCTTGATGGTCCCAGAACTCAAAGAACCTGGCAAAGGATCACACAGAGCCCCCGAGGAGGCACTAACTGCCATTGTGACATGGGGTGAACCCCAGAGTGCGAGCAATTTCCTGGGGGAAGGGGTAAAACCCAGTCCCACTGAGTTGATGCCAACTCATAGGGCCCCAGAGGATGGGGGACTGTCCCTGCCGGGTTCTGAGATGGTGACTCTTCACGGGAGTAGGAAGCCCCATCTTTCATTCGGGGTCACATGGAGATATCTGCTCCTGCAGCCCCCTCCCTGGATGTCTCCAGCACTCCCCCAGCCCCGGAGTGGGGGGTGGGGGTGGGGTCAGGGTCACCCACTCTGGGCAGCTCAAACAGCAGCTTGTGCGGAAAGGGACCAGCCCTCGGAGCCGGAAAAGGCTGGGGCTGAGACCATGACCTCGGCCATCAGGGGAGGCCCGCTCCACTCACTTGTTGTGGTACGTGATGGCTGTGTATACCTCCTGCAGGAACTCGGGCCCGTTGGACTTCCCAAAGATGACCTGTCCACCAGAGAGAAAGGACTGCGTTAGCTCTCACAGCTGGGTCTCTGCAGCCCGACACCAGCACCTGGGTAGGGTGTCCTACACCCATAGGGTGGCCCACAGCTGGTTCAGGGAGCCGGACCAGGGGCCAAGGGCCAGGAAACCAGGGCCTTCTGGACTTGGCGTCACCGTCCACAGGTTCACACCACACCTGGTCGGTCCCCAGACCTGGCTTTTCTCTTAGGAAATGATTGGGGGACCGAGCCAGCCCCCAGGCACACGCTGTCTCAGGAGGGCTCGCCTCGGGCAAGGAAACCGAGAACCTTTTCCCAATGCTTGGTGCTCACCTCTCCCACCCCTCGGTGCTGAGAAAGCAAGGCCTGGTGTGCTGCTTCCATCAGGGCGAAGCCCAACAATGTCCTCTGGGGCTTGCCTCTCCTCCACAAGGGCCCCCACGCATCAGTTTGGGAGGACAAGGGGCTGGGCTGGAGCCCTCTCGGGGCCCCTAATGGGCCCTCCCAACAGTGCAGTGTCTCCCAGCCCCACCTGATGGCCCGAGGATGACCTCCTGGACCCCAGAAGAGGGAGAAGTCCAATGTCCTGTGTCCCCAGCACACAGGACTGCACCCCAGCCACTGCACGAGGGCACCTGGTCTTGAGTCAGAGCCAACTCAATAGCCGTGAGCAGTTAGGTGGCTGTGGCCTGGAAACTAAAAGCCACTCAAACCCCACGGAGCGGAGACCCGCCGGACAACTGCAGCAGGGGCCAAGGGAACGCGTCGGCACCGGTCTGGCTGGTGGGAACGTGCCGGCCGCCGGTCCTCCTTACGGGCATGGCCTGGCTGGGGTCCTCGCTGCACATGAACTGGATCTTTACGGTGATGTTGCGGGCGGAGGCCAGCTTGTTGGCGAAGTTGAGTCTCTGTGGGTAGATGTAGAGCAGGTTCCTGTGGGGGAGGGGGACGGGGCAGTGAGCACGGTGTGGGCGGAACTTCTCGGGTGTGAGGTCGAAGGAGGGGCCCCTCAGAAGCCTGCTCCTCTGGGAGGCGTGAATGGACAAGGGCCTTCTCAGGTTGGGACGGATCCACAGGCATCTGGTGCAACTTAGAAAGTCCGTGGGCTTAGAACGTGACTGCCACGTATCACCCCCACCCCCCACTGTCCTTACTACAGGAGCCTTGGTGGCATACTGGTCACGCCTGGGGCTGCTAACCACAAGGTCAGCAGTTCGAAACCGCCAGCTGTTCCGTGGGAGAAAGGAGAGGTTTTTCTTCTGACATAGAGAGCTACAGTTCTGGATTGACTCACAATGGCAGGGAGTTCTTAAATCACAATGTGCTCAGGTGGGAAGGAATCCTCTAGGGCAGGGCTGTCAAACTCGATTACAACATGGGACATTTGGGGCAACAGGCAAGATTCACGCGGGCCACATCACATTTACAAATTTTGTTAAATTTATATTTTGAAGTGAGGATTCAGGAATATGGATAGGATAATTAAAACACTATATAATTGCTTTTATTTAAACATTCATTTTATTTAATGTATTTATAAAGTTAAAATTATCCTTTTTTATCTGAAACTTGCCAGTGCTTTCCTCCTACTAGTTTTCACTTACCTCGTACGTTGTGACTGGAAAATATAACAAAGTAACTAATTAAAAACACAAAATGTTGGACAGCTGACAAACGTGATGCACAATTGTAATGGCCTCTAAGAATGTTAACCAGCGCAGCTGCCAGGTGTGATTCATAACAGCACAACCCAGAGTGCTCTTTTTAACCTTTTCACTAGTGGGATATGTTTACATGATGTGACACTGAGCGTGGCAGACATATCGCTTCCAAACGTGGCCGGAACTGAGTCAGCCGTTTATCCACATCCACAGGCCCCCGGGAAAGGCACTGGGCCACATGCAGACTCGTCTTCAGCAGTTAAAGGGTTAATGAGGGAATTGTGTGCATGGTATCTCCCCTAAGCACTATTTCCTTCGTAACAATTTTTTCTATTTTCACGTTATTTCAGAGCATCATGGGCCACAAAAAATTACCTCGGAGGCTGCATGTGGCCCGTGGGCTGCCAGTTTGCCACCCCTGCTTTAGAACACAGGCAGCCACTCGGTGTGTGGGAATCCCCAGCCAGGCAGCTCATCAGGGGCAGCACCTGCCCGTCTGCAGCCAAGCGCTTAACGACTGCATCTCCAGGCCCCCTTTACTCAACCCTGCACGGCACCTTTCTCGGTCACCCCACTGCATCTTCCGAAACAGCGCCTGGTTTCTCCAGTCCGGCTCGCCGAGGGGGCTGGGCCTCACCAGGAGAGGAGGCGCACACCAGGGGTTAAAAGAAAACCCCTTTGCATAAACTGGCTCCAGACCCTGGGGTGCCTTCGGCTTTCCGCAGCCGGAGTTTCCAGGGTGTAAAAGAAAACGTGGCTTTTGAGCTTTTACTAGAACACGAAGTCAGAAACGGCGTGCTCTGCCCTCTGCTGGCCAAAAGCTGTACTGGAACCAGGGGTTTTGTCCTAAGGGCCATCCTATAGGACAAGGCAGGACTGCTGCTGCCCCTGAGGGTGTTCGAAACGGTAACTCTTGACAGGAGTAGAAAGGCTGGTTGTTCTCCCGCAGAGCAGCTGGTGGTTTTGAACCTCTGGCCTTGCGATTAGCAGTCCAAAGCTTAACCCACTCTAGCTGGGGTTGCTCTGAGTTGGATTTGACTCGATGACCGTGGGTTTAGTTGGGCTTTCTACAACTGTTATTCTCCCACCTGCCCCTGTGGGTGTCTGAAACAGTTAACTCTTTACGGCAGCAGACAGCCTCGTCTTTCTCCGGTGGAGCAGTTGGTAGATTTGAACAGCTGACCTTGCCATGCGCAGTGGGGGCAGTTGACTGGTTGCACTTTTAACTTGCACCAATTACAGCAGGCTCCGGGATACAAAGAAAGGAAGCGGGGCAGGCAGGGTGACCCCGCTGTAAGGTGTTTGGAGAGTGAATGAAAGAGGCCCATCTCATCCTCGTCCCCCCACCCCTAATGAGCCTGGGGGGCTGCGGTAGAGCCCTAGTTTCTTATGTCAGAGACCGGGGTTCTAGTCTACTCGGCAGCCACCACTGTCTGTCTGTCTGTCTCTCTGTCAGGGGAGCCTGGTGTGTTGTCCTGAGGCGGAACAGGTTTCAGGGAAGGTCCCGGACTAAGACAGATCAGGAATAGAGGCCTGGGGGTCTACTTCTGAAATCAGCCAGTGACAATCGGTGATCCTGTGGCAGCCCGCCTCCCCATGGGATCAGCTACCACCACCACCACCAACCCCTTATAAACAGCACTGTGAGGTGGGCAGAGCAGCCCTGGAGGCGTAGTGGTTATGCACTGGGTTGTGCTCCACAAGGTCAGCAGTTCGAAGTCCCCAGCCACTTCTTTAAGAGACAGACAGGCTTTCTCTTTCCGTAAACAGTGACAGTCTCAGAAACCTGTAGGGTGGCTCTGAGCCGGCACTGACGAGATGGCAGTGAGTGTGGGTTTGGGACGTGGGGAGCTCCCTGACTCTGAGATTGCAGACTCCTGTTCTGGGAACACAGGGTGGAAAAGAAGGCGGGGCTAGAGAGCAGTAACCATATAGACTCATGTCTAAGTGGAGTTTTACAGCACATTTTTTAATGCGGTTTTTGCGATCAGATTAGGTGCCTCGGCTGATACTCGAGTGTATATGGTAACTATTTTCCATCAGAGGAATCCTTGTTCTTGGTGCTGAGCCTGCACAGCACAGCACTCTGGTAATTGGAGGCCCCCGGGGAGGGAGGGAGGGAGAAGAAAATGCTCCTGATGTGGGTTTCCAGAAGGTAATCACTGGTTACAGGCCGGGTTAACGAGCTCATTAGGACGGCATGTCCTGGCCCGTCGGCATCGCAGACCCTGCAGGCTGCTTCCATCCCGCCTCCACCAGAAATCGGCCAGCAACTCTGAGAACAGCCTCTGAGCCACACGGAAAACAGGCCAGGCATCGCCTCGAATGTGCCCCCGGCTCACCGCTGGCCACGGAGATTGGCCACGGAGAAGCTGCCACAGCCACTGTCAACTCTCACCCCCATCGGGCTGGGTCCGACTCATCGTGACCCGTAGAGGACAGGGCAGAACTGACCCTGTGGTGTTCCAAGACGGTACCTCTTCATGGGAGTAGAAAGCCTTGTCTTTGTCCAGAGGAGCAGCTGGTGGTTTCAAACTGCTGACCTCGAAGCAGCCCAACACACAGCCACTACACCACTCAAAACAAAAACAACAACAAAGACCTCAAATCCACTGCCACCGAGCCGGTGGCGACTCCTAGCAACAGGGCAGAGCTGCCCTGTGGGTTTCTGAGACTGTACCTCTGCACGGGAGTAGAAAGCCTCATCTTTCTCCTGCAGAGCGGCTGGTGGTTTTGAACCACTGCGGAACTGCTAAGCCACTGGAGCTCCCCAGCCCCCAGCCGTCACACCAGAGTGAGTTAATTAAATGCTTGGCCAGCATGGCCCTTGAA